ACTGCAGTGATTTAGTGAATGAATGCACACGTTGGTAGTAGTTATTATCTGTACAACCCATTTGAAAGTAATACTGTTTTTCTTCTAAACATTCACTGAGGACACAGAACCTGTGAGCCTTCTGGTCACTACAACTTATACATTATACATAATTAAAGCGATTAATTTTTCAAAGTATAATTTTCTGGAGAAATGGAAACTATAAACATTACAAACTATATTTTTGTTTATATTTTTCTAGATGGGAGATCATGTACTGGAACACTGGGAATTATACTTGAAGACGTGAATGATAATGGCCCTTACATACCTAAATCGACGGTGGTGATCTGCAAATCCACCATGTTGTTTGCAGAGATTGTGGCTGTTGATCCTGATGAACCCACAAATGGCCCACCCTTTGAATTCCAGTTAGAGACTTCTGATACACAAACACAGAGAATGTGGAGTCTGACAAAAGTTAATGGTATATATTTTAAAACATTGATTTGCCTTTTTCAACATCAGAATGTCTAAAATATTGTTTTTTCTTGATGAGATAGAAGAATAATTTACAGTGTGGGGACCACCAATGAAAGGCGACAAGTTTCTCGTTTTGGTGTGGTGGGAATGAGCCTCTCTAGTGTCTTTCTCTCATCCTGTGCCAGTGTTTCTTAGGTGTCTCACAAAATCCCATTCCCACTCCAAACACACACACTCTTAGACTAGGTCTACTGCAGTCACTTTCTAACATGGATTTCTCCTACCTGCATAGATTCTATACATGCTAAGAGTTTTTCAGGTCACCAAGGAATTCCCATTTAATGAAGGTTGGTTTCCCAGGACAGAACATCTCAAATAGAATGTTTACTAAGGCATTTACAATAACTGTGAAAGGAAAGGGAGTAAGATTGGGCAATAAGAGACATCAAGATACCACACAGGCCAAATGACAGCCTCAGCTAATCCCATGGGTAGACTGAGCCAAGTGGCTTTTCAGAGTGGTCCCAAGTTGATCCTCTGCTCTCTATGACGTGGTCCCAGGTTGATTCTCTCTTACTGCTTAGTCAGTGGATGTAAACTGCCCAGAAGGTCATAAGCTTTGGCAGAAGACATCTTCATGGAAGATGCTGAGAGTCACCTCAGCAACTGGTACAACAAGTGCTTCACTCCAGGGGGATCTTGTGTGCACCATAGTGCCCACCACACTAGCCTTCCTCTCTGCCACCATGTTGATTTTTGACCATTTTGTGACTAAGGGATTCTTCTTGGGATTTTCCCCCCCAACTTGGTTCCCAGTGTGTACTTTCATTTTGAGCCTAGAAGGATCTATGGTGATAAGAAAGGCTAACATGGAGGCAACAGCTCTCCATGGCCACCATTACATCACTCCCTACCCGAACTCTTCACTCTTCAGCACCTGCTCTGCTTGTACTTTCAGGGACCAGGTCGTGATCTGGCAGCTCTCCAGAACCACTGTAAACTGAACGGGGTTTGCATTTAAAGGGCTCTTAAATGTTTTTCAACCTCATGCTTTCTTTCAGGGAATAGAATTCAATTTTCTGTAGTGACAAATTAGAAAAGAATTATGGAGAGATAATACAAAGGGAGGATGGGATGTGGAAAGAAAAGCAAGGACCTGGAGAAATAATGTATCTTTTCTTGAATCCTGCTCTGTGAACTAAGATTTTTTTTAGGACTTTTTTCTTTTCTTCTTTTTTTTTCTTTCTTTTCCTTTTTTTTTTCTTTTTTTTCTTTTTTTTTCCTTTTTGTCTTTTTACAATATTCACATGTGAGTGTATGTATAATTGTATATGTGTGTGTATGTATGTGAGTTATCGACTGTTTTTTCTTGGGAAGAATTAATCTTAGATTTCCCTTTCTACTTATTTCAGGTCATAATAGTATTTCTTTTTAAATAGTGTTGATAGGAGGTGTTTTTTTCTTGTTGTTTAATATTCTGACAGCAAAATCAAACTTTGGCAGCAGTATGTTATGCAAAACTTTGTTATGTTAAAGATTTACTGATGTGTGAAATCATCTAAAGGCACAGGAAACACCGAGTGAGGAAGCAAGTCCTCTAAGGAAGCTTTGAAGTCCAATAAGCTTAGCATCAAATGCTGACTGCACCACTTACTAGTTATGTACATCAGACTATGCTATTTTTTCTCTTTCAGCATTGATTTATTCATGTGTAAAATAAGACTATTTAGAGGGACAAATGACATAATGAATGCCGTAGAATGCACACTATGACTAATAAGTTATGGGTTGATTAGTTTCATTATTATTATTATTATTATTATTGAAGAGGTTTTTGCTAGAAAGACAGAGAGAGACAGAGAGACAGAAAGTGGGAAATCCCTCCCTGGGGGGGGGAGATGGCCATACTACAATCCCTTCTCCTCCATTCTCCTCTGGGGATCTTGGGCACATATGCACATGCGTCCGGCGTGAGTTTAAGCCACCGGGTCCGGAACTCGAACCATGGTCGACTACGCGGGAGTCCAGCAACATAGCCATTATGCTAATTTCTGGTCCCAGATTTATTATTATCTTTTACAGAAAAGACTTCATAGGTTCATGAAGGTTAACCTATAGGTTAATTATGTTTTCTTTGTTTTAATTTTTTTTTAGTTTTTGCCATAGTGCACCAACAAAAGAGGGAGGGAAAGTGAGAAACCATCCCTTGGGGGTGTTTCCACACCATAATCCCTTCCTTTCCATTCTCCCTTAGGATTTTGGACACACACACATACACACACACACACACACAACACACACACACACACACACACACACACCTGGTGTGATTTTCAAGCTGCCTGGTCTGGAACTCGAACTGCTCAGTTGGCTATGTGGGATTCAGCCACCTTACCCTCCATGCCATCTGCTGGCCCAATCACATTTTCTCTTAAAATGGATTTTCTGTCATTTAATTGTACAAACATTCAAATTTATATTTAGAGCTTCATATGCTATAAAATAAATAAGAATCTCACATAGGGCAGTTAGCTGAGAGATGGCTTTTTCTCTGGCATGTGGCATCTAGATTTAGAGTAGTATTGTCTTTGACTCTGAACCCAAGATTATATTGACTTTTGATCTGGATTTTTTTTTACCCTCAATCTAAAAAAAAAAAAAAAACAAAAAAACAAAACTAGAAAGTGTGTTATTGGTTCGAGTGTCTTCCAGGACCAGGAGATGTAGTTCAAGGAGGTTAAATCTTTACTTCTCTATTTATTTATTTTTAATTTTTTTTTATTAGAGAGAGATTTTTGCTATAGGGCATGTGTACTCACCAAAAAGAGAGACAGAGAGACAGAAAGAAAGTGAGACATCACCCCCCAAGGGGGGGATGGTCAAGTCACATTCCCTTCTTCTCTATTTTTTTGTTGGAATTTTGGGCACACACACATACATGTGCCCAGTGTGAATTTCAGGCCTCCAGATCTGGGACTTGAACCACTGTCAACTATGTGGAAGTCTAGTGATGTAACCATTATGCCATCTGCTGGTCCCAAGGAGGATGAATCTTGACCTGTTAAGGTCAGGTGTATCTTGAGGTGTCGAAATAGTCTCTGGCAGAATATATGAAAACAAAATAAAGGGAAACGTGCGGAATTTTAGATGATTATTCTCTGATGAATCACATATAACAGAAAATACACACTGGTTCATTTAATTAAATATTTTAAAGATATAAAAAATAATCTCTTAATAAGTCTGTTTGTTATGACAGGGAAATTTGTTTATGGACAGATAAAATATATTATTATATGAGCCAAAAAAACCTTTATATCAGAGGCAGGGTAAACAAACTTTTATATGCACTATGATTGCAATGCCTATAGATTAGAATGACTCTGTCCATTCCCATTTGTGAAGGGTCTTCAAAAAGTTTATAGAAAATGCTTGTTGAAAACCAGAACAGAACAAAATGCATGGATATTACATTTCTTTTGTACCAGAATAGTGTACTTTAATTCCATGTCTCATGAACTTTTTGAAGTCCCCTGTGCAGTCTTCTAGCAGTCACAGCCTGCCGATTTGTAGGGAAATTTGATAAGTAACTGGTAACTACTGCATTATCAGGTGGCTCAGGACAAATCAATGGTGTTCTATAATGCTTGGTTTTATTTTCTTTCAGACACTGCAGCAAGAATTTCCTATTACAACGATCCTTCCTTTGGGCGCTACGTAGTGCCAGTCAGAGTTACAGATAGGCTTGGTCAGTACAGAGTCACTTCCCTGGATGTGGTCCTCTGTGACTGTGTGACGGAAAATGATTGCACACTTCGCACAGATCCAAGGACAGGCGGTGGAGAAGTAATACTTGGAAAGTGGGCTATCCTTGCAATATTGCTGGGCATTGCACTGCTGTTTTGTAAGTAATTTCTTATATTCAAATGATAGCTTTGAAAGTGACTTTCAAGACATATTTTTAGAATCAACACTGCTACTGATAGCTGGTTATTTCTATGCAGTTGTATATATATTTAACACAAATCTAGTTCATTTATATATTTTAAGTGCATGAATGTATAGTTCTACTGTCTCCTCAGTTTGCATAAACATAAAATTCACTGTTTCAATACAGTATGTGGGGTCAGCTACAACTGCAATCCAAGTCCCGGACCCAGTGACTTGAAACTCATGTAGGGTGCATGTGTGTGCATGCCCAAGATCCCAGGAAAAGAGTGGAGGAGAAGGGATTACTGCGTGGATGTCCCCCCAGGGGGTGACTTCTCAGTTTCTCTCTTACTGTCTCTGTCACTCTCTCTCTCTCTCTCTCTCTGGTGAGTGCATGTGCACTGAGGCAAAAACTTCTACAAAAAATTTTTAAAAAGAGGTACAGTATATAAGTATGTAGCATATATTTGTGAAATACTTGTTTAGGGTTAACTTTTCTATTGTATACTGCTTTGACACTCACCATCATATTTATGTGTCTTAGAAAGACAAATTTAATACAGACTTTCAAAATTCATAATGATAATGACTTATCTATACTTAATCATTGTAAATTCATTACTTTTTTTTTTTTTTGGAGAGGTTTTTGCTATAGGGCACTTGTGCTCGCCAGAAAGACAGAGAGACAAAGAGACAGAAAGTGAGAAATCACCCCCCAGGGGGGATGGCCACGCTGCAATCCCTTCTCCTCCATTCTCCTCTCGGGATCTTGGACACGCATGCACATGCGCCCGACGTGAGTTTAAGCCACCGGGTCCGGGACCCGAACTGCGGTCAACTGCATGGGAGCCAGCGACATAGTCATTATGCCAACTGCTGATCCCGTAAATCCATAACTTCACATTTATTTTATGATAAACTTAAGTAATTTCTTTCTTTCTCCAGGTATCCTATTTACATTAATTTGTACGACTTCTAGGGCAGACAAACAACCAAAAGAATTTCCTGATGATTTAGCCCAGCAAAACCTAATTATATCAAACACTGAAGCTCCTGGAGATGACAAAGTGGTGAGTAGTCTGTCTTTTTAAAATAAATACTAAATATGGGGTCAGCAAGTGGCATGGAGGTTAAGGTGCTGGATCCCACATGGCTAGCTGCATGGTTTGAGTCTCAGACCCAGTGGCTTGAAAATCATGCTGGGTGTGTGTGCATTTTTGTCCCAAATCCAGTGAGGAGACTGGAGGACAAGTGACTGTGGCATGGTCATCCCTCGAAGAGGTGATTTCTCACTTTCCCTCTCTCTTTCTTTCTCTCTCTTTCTTTCATTGACAAGCACACATGTCCTATAGCAAAACCAAAAATAAAACAAGTAAGTAACTACAAAGGATTAATTAGCCTATAATATATAGTCTTTCTAATATTTTTTTTCAAGTAAAGTTCTTTTAAGATTAGGTAACTTACCATAAGATACTCTTAGTACCATGGAACAGATAAAATGACTTGGAATCCCATGATACACATGTTACTTCAATCGACCATATAGTGTCATTTAATAGTGAAGACACTTTGGCATGTCACTATTATTTTCTACTTTAAATGTTTCATGATTTCAATGTTAGGCCTGGTTTTTCACAAATATTTCAACTTGTTTGTGTGGTGAAAATACTGCATTCAATTATTCACAGATCACCAGCATAATTGTTTTAAATTTTTTCTAACAAGAGCAATAGGGAAATATGATAAGTAACTGGTAACTACTGCATTATCAGGTGGCTCAGGACAAATCAATGGTGTTCTATAATGCTTGGTTTTATTTTCTTTCAGACACTGCAGCAAGAATTTCCTATTACAACGATCCTTCCTTTGGACGCTACGTAGTGCCAGTCAGAGTTACAGATAGGCTTGGCCAGTACAGAGTCACTTCCCTGGATGTGGTCCTCTGTGACTGTGTGACGGAAAATGATTGCACACTTCGCACAGATCCAAGGACAGGCGGTGGAGAAGTAATACTTGGAAAGTGGGCTATCCTTGCAATATTGCTGGGCATTGCACTGCTGTTTTGTAAGTAATTTCTTATATTCAAATGATAGCTTTGAAAGTGACTTTCAAGACATATTTTTAGAATCAACACTGCTACTGATAGCTGGTTATTTCTATGCAGTTGTATATATATTTAACACAAATCTAGTTCATTTATATATTTTAAGTGCATGAATGTATAGTTCTACTGTCTCCTCAGTTTGCATAAACATAAAATTCACTGTTTCAATACAGTATGTGGGGTCAGCTACAACTGCAATCCAAGTCCCGGACCCAGTGACTTGAAACTCATGTAGGGTGCATGTGTGTGCATGCCCAAGATCCCAGGAAAAGAGTGGAGGAGAAGGGATTACTGCGTGGATGTCCCCCCAGGGGGTGACTTCTCAGTTTCTCTCTTACTGTCTCTGTCACTCTCTCTCTCTCTCTCTCTGGTGAGTGCATGTGCACTGAGGCAAAAACTTCTACAAAAAATTTTTAAAAAGAGGTACAGTATATAAGTATGTAGCATATATTTGTGAAATACTTGTTTAGGGTTAACTTTTCTATTGTATACTGCTTTGACACTCACCATCATATTTATGTGTCTTAGAAAGACAAATTTAATACAGACTTTCAAAATTCATAATGATAATGACTTATCTATACTTAATCATTGTAAATTCATTACTTTTTTTTTTTTTTGGAGAGGTTTTTGCTATAGGGCACTTGTGCTCGCCAGAAAGACAGAGAGACAAAGAGACAGAAAGTGAGAAATCACCCCCCAGGGGGGATGGCCACGCTGCAATCCCTTCTCCTCCATTCTCCTCTCGGGATCTTGGACACGCATGCACATGCGCCCGACGTGAGTTTAAGCCACCGGGTCCGGGACCCGAACTGCGGTCAACTGCATGGGAGCCAGCGACATAGTCATTATGCCAACTGCTGATCCCGTAAATCCATAACTTCACATTTATTTTATGATAAACTTAAGTAATTTCTTTCTTTCTCCAGGTATCCTATTTACATTAATTTGTACGACTTCTAGGGCAGACAAACAACCAAAAGAATTTCCTGATGATTTAGCCCAGCAAAACCTAATTATATCAAACACTGAAGCTCCTGGAGATGACAAAGTGGTGAGTAGTCTGTCTTTTTAAAATAAATACTAAATATGGGGTCAGCAAGTGGCATGGAGGTTAAGGTGCTGGATCCCACATGGCTAGCTGCATGGTTTGAGTCTCAGACCCAGTGGCTTGAAAATCATGCTGGGTGTGTGTGCATTTTTGTCCCAAATCCAGTGAGGAGACTGGAGGACAAGTGACTGTGGCATGGTCATCCCTCGAAGAGGTGATTTCTCACTTTCCCTCTCTCTTTCTTTCTCTCTCTTTCTTTCATTGACAAGCACACATGTCCTATAGCAAAACCAAAAATAAAACAAGTAAGTAACTACAAAGGATTAATTAGCCTATAATATATAGTCTTTCTAATATTTTTTTTCAAGTAAAGTTCTTTTAAGATTAGGTAACTTACCATAAGATACTCTTAGTACCATGGAACAGATAAAATGACTTGGAATCCCATGATACACATGTTACTTCAATCGACCATATAGTGTCATTTAATAGTGAAGACACTTTGGCATGTCACTATTATTTTCTACTTTAAATGTTTCATGATTTCAATGTTAGGCCTGGTTTTTCACAAATATTTCAACTTGTTTGTGTGGTGAAAATACTGCATTCAATTATTCACAGATCACCAGCATAATTGTTTTAAATTTTTTCTAACAAGAGCAATAAAATTACAACAAGCTTTGATCATCGTGGGAAGAACTTTACTAGATTCTTTCTGCACTAATGTGGGTTAGTAAAGATCCTGAGGCCAAATACATGAAACAACAATGCTATCAAGTGACTACATTGCTCCAAATCTGTTTTTCAGTTCAATACGTGGAAGAGAAATAAGTAAATTCCCTGTGAAAAGCATAGTCAATGACTAGGGCAGGAAAGACTTAAAAAACAAAAGCACGATTGTATCTAGAAAGAGACAGAAAAAGCTAAACTTACATTAGAGTTTCTAAAATCATGACATAGAAAATTAGTGGGCAGGGGCCAGCAGGTGGCATGGTGGTTAAGGTCACTGGACTCTCACTTGGCTGACTGTGGTTTGAGTCCTGGACCTGGCGGCTTGCTTTCTCACTTTCCTTTTCTCTCTTTCTCTCTCTTACTCTGTCCTTCTCTGGTCAAATTAAATAAATAAAGCTAAGTAAAATAATTCTTAAAAAAAAAAAAAATGACAACAGGACAGCACTACTAGCTCCTTGTAGACTACCCCTTCCAAAAAAAAAAAGTTAGAAAATTAGTGGGCAAAACTTTGCTTTTCTTATTGTTTTCCCTGCCTGATTTATTTTATTTATTTAGATTAGAAAGATACATTATTGCAGCTAAGATATTCATGACAACTTTATTTCTATTTTTGTTTTGTTTTCATTAAGAGGAACTGAATTAGACACTGAATAGAAATATTGGTCATTTTTTCTATTCCTATTATAGTCAGGTAAAAGGGAATGAATTAAATCTAACAGGGTTAAATGTGTGAGACAAAAGTACCAATTTTGAGTTTTGAGATCATGGAAGGATTTAACTACTGAAGAGGTACAGAATTCTAAAAGTGATCAAGAGACCTCACCCTCTCCCCGACACACACACCCACAAGGCCTTCATGCTGTGATCCATCCCTAGTATCGGGGAGGATCAACGGCACTTGCACCCTCCTAGCAGATAAAAGAAGGTCCCAGGAAGTGAACCAGTGAGAATCCTGTGTGGGCTCAACACAACACCAGTGTGCCACCACATTTGGCCCTTTAAGAAGCTTTTAAAAAATAATCTATCTCTCGGACCAGCAGTTAGCGTAATGGCTATGTCGCTGGACTCCCATGTAGTTGACTGCGGTTTGCGTCCCGGACCCAGTGGCTTAAACTCACGCCAGGCACCTCTGCATGCATGCCCAAGATCCCTAGAGGAGAATGAAGAAGGGATTGCAGTGTGGCCATCCCCCCTGGGAGGTGATTTCTCGTTTTCTATCTCTCTGTCTCTGTCTGTTTGGTGAGCGCATGCGGCCTAACGCAAAAACCTCTCAAAAAAAAAGAAAAAAGAAAAAAGATCTCTCTCCAACATTCTGACTTGTCTTCAGATGCCAACCACTTGACTTGCAATTATTCTCTTTTGTTAAGACACTACACTACTGGAGTTACAGTAGTAAGGTCCAGGATCAAGAAGACAGATTTAGTTCCTGCCTTCCATTTGCCTTCTAGCACACACAAATCATGACATTGTCTGCACAACATTCTTCCTCAGAAGCTATTGTTCTCTTCTGTATTTCAGTATTCCATAAGTGACTTTACAGCCCACGGTGTGGGTGCTTCTGCTCAGGGGACCTGTGGCACCCTGGGATCGGGAGTTAAAAACGGAAGGCAGGAGACCATTGAGATGGTGAAAGGAGGACATCAGACCTTGGAGTCCTGCAGGGGGGTCGGGCACCATCATCACACCCTGGATTCCTGCAGGGGAGGACACGTGGAGGTGGACAACTGCAGACACACCTACTCCGAGTGGCACAGTTACACTCAGCCCCGTCTGGGTGAAGTGAGTTTTCCTAAACATTTATTTTGACTTCCTTTAAATTTTATAAGTAATTACAATTTAGACCTTATTTAGACCTTTGTGTTCAAGTAACTATAAATCTACTCATTGAAATATTACTTTTTCAATTTTGATTTAGTTATGTTGATTTAAGTGATTACTTTTCCTCATACTTTTGTTTGCTTTTAATATCCTCACTGAAATAATGTGTGATGATATTTAAATTACTCTCTTAGGATTTTGTTGTAATATTTCCCATTCGATAACTCATGTCTTAGAAATCAAAAGCGTAGTAGTACAAGGCAATACTTTGTCGGTGGGGAAGATCTGAACCCACATCAACTTGGGTTTAGTTTAATGGATACATTTTATGTTTAATCATCATTTTGAATCAGAACAGCAGTGATTACTTAAAATCCACACTTGCATACTTGTTGCCACATGCGTGACTTTTAGAAACATGCAATATACTGAACTTACAGTGTGATTTATGATATGGACCAATCATATGCATTTTTTATATGTAGGAATCCATTAGAGGACACACTCTGATTAAAAATTAATCAATCAAAGGTAAATCAAAGCAATCATTTTTATGTTAGTAAGTTTTGGTGTTTAAAATATTAATAATAAAATATGTTGTGGTTTTTCCCTTGGCAGAAGGTGCAGCTGTGTAACCAGGATGACCATCACACGCATGCGCAAGACTACGTTCTTTCGTATAACTACGAAGGAAAAGGATCTGTAGCTGGTTCTGTGGGTTGCTGCAGTGAGCGACCAGAAGACGATGGGCTTGAATTCTTGGATTATTTGGAACCAAAATTTAGGACTCTAGCAGAAACATGCATAAAGAGATGAACATGTTCTATGTCCACAAAAGCCAGTGGCTCTATTACCTTGGATATTTTTTCAGTTACAAAGGAGAATTATTTTTAAAAAATGAAAGGTGTTATGTTTGGGGTCCTTACCCCCTTTATTTTGATGGAATCTTTTTGTCTAAATCACATTTACAGAAAGACTCTAAATAAATATAAAAACCTTTCAGTTTTTACATAGATTATAGTAACTTGGCTTCCACAAAGGAGATTAACAGATAGAAAGATAAGGAAGTCTGCATTATTGTTTACATTTGGGTATTACAGAAAAAATTAAGGAAGCCTGCATTATTGTTTACATTTGGGTATTATGAGAATAGCCAATTTCTAATACAGAAAAATGCTATTTATTCGAATCTGTATTAGAGACTCCTCAAAGTATAACAAAATAGAAGATTGTAGAGAACTTGCTTTATACTGTCTCCAGTTAGCTAGTTGGGTGGTGCTTTAAAACGGTTGTTCTCCTAAACATTATAAAGTGCATATACTGCACTCTTGATATTGTTTTATTCTTGTAAAAGGACTCTTTTCTCATAATGCAAAGGATGATTTCCAACAGGCATTGACAGTTATTGTAATTCCATCTTGGTGGAGCTTAGTTTTAGATTTTCTTCTATAAAAAAAAAATCATGCACTGAATCTCCTCTCCTCTGTTACCTACTTTGTCAGCGAAACTTTAAGATTCAACTTTCAGAAGGTACTTTTACTCCTGCAAGTTTTTTGTCTGTAATATACTAAGTGTTCTCTTGCTCTTTCTTCTCTGCTTTAAAATTTCTAGTTTTATTGAAGAATCCTAGTATTTTAAAAAGCTATCTCTCTTTTCATTTTGTGAAGTAAATTATTTTTTTTGTCTTATGTAATGTATTCTTGGTTTTTCTTAAAGTCAATGTATTCTTGGTTTTTCTTAAAGTCAGTGTATTCTTGGTTTTTCTTAAAGTCAATGTCACGTTAACTTTATTGTGTGAAATACATTGGTGATTTCTTCATTATCTCAACAAAGAACCTTAAATTTTGCTATTGAAACTGTGGAACTGTATCATGCTTTTATTAGAAACAACATTATGTGTTAACAAAGGAGTTATTGTAATTGTAATTGGGATGTGGATATTTAGTATATGTTAACACATTTAAAAGTCTGTATCTTTAATGCAAGAGAGTGATGTTTTTCTAAATAAGCTTTAAAATACAGGGTTCTATTAACTGTTTTTTAAGTGTTTAAAAGAGATGGCTAGTCATGTCTATATATATTTGTAAAGTTATTTTTTAATATTTTAAGATATAGAAATGGACCAAAGCATTTAAACTTTAAAACAATAAGATAAAATTAAGCTTAATAGCCAACCAAATCCAGGTTAGGTTTCACGACTTATTTCAGTTAATGAATTCTCTACACTAATGCAACGGACATTTTAAATATTTCTAATACTCATGATTGTTAATGATGTGCCTTTCTTGAATGAACAAAGTTGATTTATAACAATTATGTTTCAGGATTGACATTGGGTAATTATTTGATAACTAGCTTATCTTTTCAATAGTTTCATTACTACTTGGTCAAAAGTGTAATTTCCAAAAGTTACTTTAAGTGAATTATGTAAAAAAAATTTTGTGTATTATTAGTCATGATAAAGTAAGCAATTTTTCAAATTTAGTGTGAGTTTGTTAATAAAGGATCTGATATGACTGTAATGGATTGGGCTTTTCTAACTAGGAGAAGTAAGCTGTTCTATAGAATCTTTTTATAAAATTTTAGACTTTAGAATTTGATTTGGAAACATGTTTGGTGCATTGTTATTGCCACATTTATATAATATTATTATTCTAAAGAGTGTTGGTATGGGATATTGGCTAAGGTGCACATTCTGTGTCTGTTTTTTTCCATTTTCAAATAAGGGATAATAGAATTATTTTTATAGGGTGATTGTAAGACACTTCAAATAAAAAATATTTTTAAGCATGAAATCATTATACAGAGTGGTCCACCTAAAAGACACTCCTAATAATAAATTATTTAAAGTAAGCCACACATACAGCCCATTTCATGTTAACAAAATATCAATTAAGAAAATACTATAATGGAAAGTTCTTTTTTTTTTACTTTAGAATGTGTGTTGATTGAGAATTTTTTTCTTCAAAATGATCACCTGATGCTTGCTCTTTTATATCCAGTTATTCAGGATTTCTGAGGGATCTTCAAAAAGTTCATGACCATGCACATCTAAAGAAAGGTTCATGGATTTCTAATATTTTTGCACCAAAATAAACTCATACTTTAATTGCATTTTTTCCATGAAAAATTTCAAATAACCTTGTATATTGCAAAGATTGCTAAAGTATCTGATTAGAGCTGCATAGTTTGAAATACTGTGAAACTACTGGTATTTCAAGCTGGAGAGAAAGCAGAGTGAATATCTCTTCTTAAAAATAGGAAAGAGAGATCTACTGTTAGTTCAGTGCAGTTTGTATTTGGGGTCTTTCTATAATAACTTTCTGATTTTTTTTATTCCCATTTTAAGACTTTTTTTTATTCTTTTGTCTCGACTTTAGTTCTGTCATGCAAAATCTGATTTTGACTACAAGCTTCCCCTTTAGTCTCCATCTCCATCCCTATTTCTGGTGTCCAGATTAAAATCTTGACACCAGGATTCTCACTGGTCAACCCCTTTAAGAACATCCAGAGAATAAAATGCTCTGCCTTCTATGTGCCTAAAATGATCACATTTTCAAATTCTTTAAATATGCAAAGTCCTTAGAAGTTACATGATGTCTACATAGATTTACAACTCCTAATTCAGCTTTTTTGTGCGACCTCTATTAGCTTTCTAGGGCTTTAAAATCCAACACAAACATTTTATGCTACCACATCAAACCACATCAAATCAGGTCTTCCTGAGTCTCTTCTGTCAATCAAGTCTTCCCTCTAATTGTTTAGGCTTGAAACTGAGAGTCACGATTCCTTCTTCTCTTTACATAGTACATTATATTTGTTGTCTAAAACTGCCAAGTTTTCTGAAGACGTTCCACACAATTTCATAAATTAAGTAATGTATTTGTACTACCATCATTTAATGCCTTCCCGGTGCAGTCATGTATGGCCTTCTAAATACATGCTATAAAGACTGTGTTTGTGCACAAGATGAATCAGCTGCTTCTTCATCCACCCACGCTAATGCAGGACAAGACATGGTAGATGTGAGTAAGGACGAGGCTAATGCTTGTAAAACTCATTACTCCATGCTCCATACTTAACTCCATAGTAAGTGCTTAATGTACCTAAAAAGGAGCCAGTTGCTACTGGTGAGTGAACCTGTGCTTCCACTACTCCCAAGCTGAGTGTTCATGTAGATGCAGTATACCCCACTTCTGCAGGGAATGCCTTTCCCCATTCTCCTCTTCAATATGTGTCTTACCAGTACTCGAGTTCAAACCTTTGGCATTAGCTCCAATGGTGTTTGTGCTTCCAATTTCTTCCCTCTTCCCTCCAACTGCTATCAAAGAATAAATACAATCATGGCATTTTTAAGGGCTTTCTGTGACTTTAGAGGTTTAATTTGAAATGCAAAATCACATTCAAATGCCCATCTCCCTGTACTCCACACACATTCTCTGTCTGTGCCTTGCACATTGAGTAAAGATGTTTTTGCAATGTCTTTGCTCACTTTATTAGCCATTTCTCTCTTCCCTGTTTTATTTTGTTGAGAGGGATTTTTGCTATAGGGCACGCTAGAGAGAAAGAAAGAGACAGAGGACAGAAAGCAAGGAATCATTCCTCCAGGGAGGATGGCCACACCATAATCTCATCTCTTCCGTTCTCCTCTCAGAATCTTGGGCATGCACACACATCTGCCTGGCATGAGTTTTAAGCCACTGGGTCTGAGACTTGAACCATGGTAGTCAATGTGGGAGTCTAGTGACATAACCATTATGCCATCTGCTGGTCTCCATTTCATTCTTTGTAAAACCAAGACATTTTTGGAGAACTGATTTAAACACCATCTCCTCTAAACAGAAGACATTTGTGTGTCTAGATTATATTGCTGCAAAGTTTTCACTCAAAGGCTTATAGGGACAGAGGGCCCTCAATAATTGTGGACTTCACATCCTTGTAATAAAACAACCATAAATGAAACCAGGCCACACTTAGGACATGGGGGAAGAGGTGGCTCCTTAAAAGAGAGATGTTGAGGGACCAGCATATGGCATAATAGTTATGTCGCTGGTCTCCCACATGGTCGGCCTGCAGCTTGAAACTCACACTGAGCATGGCCAGGCATTCCCAAAATCCTGAGAGGAGAATGGAGGAGAAGGGATTGCAATGTAGCCATCTCCCCCTGGAGGTGATTTCTCTCTCATTTTCTGTCTCTGTTTCTCTCTCCGGTGAGTGTACATGGCCTATAGCAAAAATCTCTTTAAAAAAAAAAGAGAATGATGTTGAAGAAGTCTATGTATTTTCCTTTTTACTTATATGTAATGCTAAGATTACGTGTAATTAATCTATAGATAACTATTTAAAACACACCAGAGAATATGCATAGGTTCTATTTCTATGTAAGGAACATGAGCATCCTTGGATCTGTGGGGATTCTGGAACCCCGTGCCCCTCTGATACTAGGGGATGACTCATGAGCATCCTTGGATCTGTGGGGATTCTGGAGTCCTGTGCCCCTCTGATACCAGGGGATGACTCTGTATGTCTGCGTGCATGTGTGTGTGTGTTTCTTTTCTCTGATGTGGGAGGCTCACTGAGGACAGAAAACAATGTTCACGGGGCAGGGCCAGCAGATGGTGTGGTGGTTAATGGCGCTGGACTCCCACATGGCCAAGTGCAGTGAGAGTCCCGGACCTGGCAGCTTGCTTTCTTGCTTTCTCTCTCTCTCTCTCTCTCTCTCTCTCACTCGTTCTGTACCTCTCTGGTCAAATATAAATAATAAAGTTAAATAAAATAATCTTTAAAAACTGTTCACTTTTTATGTCTGTAAGACTCGCTGTCAATACATTTTGATAAAATCAAATTGTATCGCTGCATTTGCAAAGAGTGAAAAAGGAACCATTATAAATGAGTTTTGTAAAAATTTTGAATGTACTACATTACTTTCCATTGGCATAAATTTTTCATTATAGAGTCATTATATTAATACATTTGATTCTGCACCGAATTCTTCTTTTTCAGTATGAAGTCATGGAATGAGCAGAAAATCCAACATCTGCATTCACAACTTAGTACAAGATGGTAAGGCAGTGAGATTTGGGAATCCCTCTGTTTTATGGCTCCCTTAGGGTAGTGGGGTAGCAGATAGGAGAGGTACCAGCATTGTGTTAAGGGCAGCTCAACTCTTCCTTCTACTAATAATTGAACACACGTGCTTGTAACCAGCGATATTACATCGACATGCAACTTGACTCCCAAGGGTTATATTCTATCTTCTTCATCACTGTATGCTCAGCACATAGAGAAGTAGACAATATGTTTGTTATATGAATGGATGAATTTGCATATATGTATTAGTTACCTGACCACAATTAGAGTACAGTGTTGCCAAAACAAATTGTTTTTCACAATGTGGAACTTACAGTCACCATGTTCTAATACTACTGGATTTTTATTTTCTTTCCCCTAAAGGGGCACTCTCTAATCTCCTGAGGAAAAACCATGAAGAGTTATCTATGTTTTAGAAATCCAAGAAATGATTCTCACAGGTTGGCTTAACCCAAGTTAATCATTTACAAATTGCTATAAGTCATGCCTTGACTCAAGCTATATCTTGAGGAGCCGAAAAGCAGCATAGGTGGGTGGCACAGTTCTAAGAGCTGCCTTTGAGAACGGGGAGAACTTTCTGTAACAGGACACCTCCGTGCTCAGGTGTGCACTGCCAGAGAAGAAAGCCTGCAGATGAAAACCAGAGAAAAGGAAAAGAAATGTGTAGCAATGAGCCCCAGCTGCCATGCCTATGCGTGCTGTGAGCTGGAATGTCACCGGGAGGGTCACACACAGGGGTGTGGAGCCTGGCCCTGCTGTTCCCTGGCCTGCATCTGAGAGACAGACCTGTCCAGCTAACAGTGGGAAGGCTTAGTAAACAGCGAGACATCTATGCGTCCAGTTCTTTGTTTTGTTTTGGGGGAGTGTGTAGGGGGGAAGGTTAGCAATTTACTCAGTTATTTCCTCTCCACCAGTTCTGAGTTTCTAGGTCCGAGGCCTGAAATCCTCAAAAGCAGGGTAGGACATCCTCCCCAGGAAGATCTCTCCCCAACCGTCCAGCAATAGTTAAAGGACAACTTAAGTCACTTTTGCTTAATTTTCTTTCTTAAATTAAGTAAACAAATGCATCAGTCAACTACATGAAGGCATGCAAGATAGATTCTTAATACAAGCAAAGCAACACAATGTAAATTCCAGGAAACTAATACTTTGCTGTAACTAC